TAAGTCTGCTTGATGGCGTGTAACTGAGTTTATAACAACTTCTGGTGTTGTTACTGGAGGTGTGATCCATTTAAAAGGTTTTGTAGTTGTGTCTAATACAATTAATTCAGGAGTAGGTGTTGTACCTTGTGCAGGTGTAGTTCCTCCATAGACTATTATCTGACCATTAGCAGCTAAGAAATAAATATATAAAATGAAATTTTTTTTTTAAAATGATGATAAGAAACAAACAAATAATAATAGTAATTATTATTTACCATATAGTGCTGTATGTCCAATGCGGGATTCAATTTCTAGACCACCAACTGTAGTCTGATCAATATAAAAAAATGATTAATATATTTTCCAATTAAAATAAATTTCTTATATTAAATTAATAATCACCATTAAATCCCAAGTATTAGCTTTAGTATCATATAATGTAAGCTTTTTTTAAATAAATAATAAATTAATATTAAATTAATAACTACACATTTTTATTAATCATTATAGTTATTATTTATTACTTTATTCATGGGAACTGCAGTTAGATGACCAGTAACACTAGAGTGGTCTTTTCCACCAATAAAAAACAATTACTCCATTAGCAATCAATACAGCAACATGGTCAATCCTAGGAGGTGGCATACTTGCACCAGTTTTTCCAATTTGACTCCAGGATAAATTATTTCCATCCAGAATAAAAAAAAAATCATTAAAAAAAATACCAGTAGTAATACCTACATCATGTACTCCACCATGAATATATAATTTGCCAGTCAATGGATCACTAACACTTGCAAATTCTCTACGTGTTTCAGGTGCAGTTCCTTGAAAAGCAGGTGGATTTACTAACCATTGGTTGCTTTTAAAATCATGAGTGTAAACCACATTTTTCGAATTCAATTCACCAGTTACAGCATCAAGCATAATACCACCAAACAAAAATATTGTATCATTATTAGTGTTGGAACTAGCTTTAGCCCATGATATTGATACTGGCAATGGTGAAGTTTCAGTTAAATCCTTCCATGGTGGAGTTGTTACATCAAATTCTTGTGATAAATCAAGAGAAAAAAATTCTTTTGATGATAGACCATTAGAGATACCACCCATAACATATAAATTATTGTTAACAATAACAGTGACATGTACTAATCTTGGGTCAGTTGGTGCTGAATTCACCACTAAAAATAAGCATTTGAGCAATATTAAAAATATTAAAAAGATGTTCATTATTTTAATTATATATAAACAGCTAAGTAAAAAAAAGATCTCATTTTTATTGTCTGTTGTTATATTGTATATTCCATGTTACATGCCAAATAAAAACAAATGGATTCATTAATTTGACACCACATATTTATTGATGATGTTACCAAAACAATGGTTGGAATCGACTAAACTTTTTTTTGAACAACTAATAGTCGACTACCTTAGGCGACTACTACTAATAATAATAATACTAATGCTAATACTATGCTAATATTATTATTTTCTGACAAATTACATTTTGGTGTTTTATCATTCAAAATGGAAAAAAAATTTCTATGCTGAAGAGTATCATATCAATACCATCAATATGATGATGACGACGACAATAGTGGTGGTGTTGTTGATGATAATTTTACATATGAACAAATAAACACTTTCGATACAAAGTACAATAGTTCATTAGCTTCAAGTTCTAATGATTTTAAGCGGTAGTTCCAGATGACCTTTAAAAAAACGAATCGTAACATATGGTTTTGTGTGGAAGTATTTTGAAAAAGTGAAAGATTCAAATGGAAATGAATAATTTGCAAATTAAAAAAAAAAAAAAAAAAATGAAATATTGTTAAAATAATCAACTAAAATAATCAACTAATAGTCGACTAAAGTTTGACCAGCTAGTAGTCGACTAAGGATTTTTTGGACGATCCCAACCTCTATACCAATATAAATATTTGAATACGAGAACGCAACATTAATCAAATGTAGCCAACAGTTCCAATTCTACATTCTCAAAAAGTGTTGTTTTTTTTTATAATAAATTTTTAATAAAACCTTAAATTCGTATTTCGCCAATTATGTCTAGAAATCTGTGATGAAATTTTCCTGAATTCACGCACAACATATAAATAAATCCATCCAATGAAATTCGTTGTTTCGGCGATAATAAACATAAAGTTCGTTGTAACGCGATTTTCATATACGTTCCATCCTATAAACAATTATCTATGGAATATGTAGTGAGTATACATTAGAAAACGAGTAGATGTTTTCATACTAAAATGCATTTTTCATGTACGGAAGGGGCCTGGACAATAAAAAAGGACCATAATGTGAAAATCAATTTTGATCGGTCCTCTTTATGTAGAGCGTTTTTGTCTTAAAACCATACTCAATTTGAATGATTAATACTTTGAGATCTTAAGCTTTCAAAACCACCTTGAATTTTATTATTATGGTCCTCTTTTTATTGACCAGACAGACCAAAAATATTCCACGCTGGTTCTCATGTTTTTAGGCACAGGGAAGCCCGTTTCCCCGTAGTACGTATTTTGTATCAGTCAGTATGCGTTTTTTCAAATCAAAAATACGGGGGTATTCATTCCACAACTCGTACCTATTGCTATTATCTACATAATTGTTTATAGGGAAAAAGATTTGTTGAAATGAAGGTTTGACTTATTCTAGCTTAAGCACGTTTATTTTAACATCAATTTAAAAATCCGATTTGACTTGAATTGAAACAAATCCATAATTTTTTGGAATTTGAGCCGCTTTAAAATTTGACTGTCCAATTTCTTTTGTACTATTAAAGCAAATGATATGGTTTTGATGGTTTAACCAATACCTAGTTTTGGAATTTAAGTGGTAATTTCTCCATTTAACCGATATCGAATCATAATTAAAGCTCCGACCTGTTGGAGCTTTAGGCTAAAACTATTTGGCAGTTCCTGGGATTCCAATTTTTGCATTCTGGTTAAAATTATTAATTTCTAATCTAATAAATTTATTATAGGCAACCAGTGTCCTGGTTAAACGAGTTTTTTCTGGAGGCACAGACTTAATTATTCAAAGGCATTGTATTTAAGGACCTGAAACAATGAGAGTTTGAATGAGCGTGGACATGATGAATTTTATATATGAATTGAAAACAATAAAACTTCCTTAGGGTTTCTATTCAAATTATTTATTTCATTCATTATGAATTTGAGTATTTAAATTACATCAAAAGTTTAGTCAAACAAAAACGAATAATTCAAATGAAATAATGAAATGAATGAAACAAATTAAAGAATAATAAAACAAAATGAACAAATGAATAATACAAACAAAATGAATAATTTGAATAATTTGAATAAAATGAACTAAATGAATAAAATGAGTAATTCGAATAGAATGAATAAAGCGAATAGAATGAATAGAACGAATAAACAAATAGAGAATAATTTGAATCAAGATTAAGATTAAGATTAAAGTTGAGTTGAAATTATGAATAATTCGAATAAGAATTTGTATTATGAATAGAAACTCTAACTGTACAAGTTTTGTATAAATATGTAACAATTAGACCTATAACTGACCAGCTGTATCTAAACATGGTAGGAATTATGTATGAAATGGATAAAATTCAATCATTACCCATTCTAATTTTGGCAAGAAATGGACCATCATTACCATGGTATAAAAATTATAGACTATGTATGTATTTAGAAACAGGATTCCTTCCTGCATTTCTACTTCACAACATATTCACTAAAACCAAGCTACAAGTAGCATAATGGACACTCATTTTGTGCAACAGTCATTTGTATAATAGTCAGGCGGTTACACAGAGCCCGTTGCTTCTGAAACTTCACTAGAATATAGCTGTAGCCTCTCTAAGTCCAGATCATCAGCAAGATCAAAATTATCTCACACTTTTATAATCAAACTTTTGCAAGAACTTTCACCATAACATATGTTATGTTGATCATTTTTTTGTGATCTGCAACAGTGTCCACTATGCTGATATTTTCTGTGAATCAATGAATTTTTCCAATTTTCTTTTTTCGTAAGTCATCTCCGATTTAATTTTCCGCGATCCATAAAATCACTTGATGTAGATATAAATAATTCAAAAAATCATGGTGTACAACCAAAAAATGCAGTTTGGCAACATTTTGAATGTTATCCTTCAAAACATCCAGGACATTTCGGAGCCAAATGCAAAACATGTAATTATAAATGGAGTAATAAAGTTGTAAATAAACTGCAAGTCCATTTAGTACATGAATGTGAATATATCAAAAAAGATTTATGTATATTGTTGCAGAAAGAGATAGTGAAAGTGAATCTTTGGAAAATGTAGCATATAAAGCAAATACACAATCACTTGCTAATTTTTGGGATAAAGATGAGATATTATTAAAAAATGTGCAGAAATTATTGATCATTCAATTTTAAAGGCTTTTGTGACTTGTGGTACCCAAAAGTATTTGGTTTTGATGCAATTCCTGAAATTTCACCTTCACCAAATTATGTAAAAAATTATTATTTTTTAAAAACTTTATTAATAATGAGTGATAATAATAATAAGCAAAAATAAAAAATAAAGACTAAGAATATTTGTTTGGTTTGGGATTTTTAGGAGTTTCGAATCAAGAAAATAATTGCTGAAATAACTGTTTGCAAAATTTACTTTTAAAATGGAAACGGACACAATACCTTTTATGTTGATTACGATTTTGCTTTATCCATAATTTCATTAAAGAATTTTGCTATACCCCAAATAGTCACCACTTATTAAAACTCGTCCAAATTTTCAAAAACTCTATCAAGATCAGAAGTTACCTCAATATAAATAATCTGGTTTACTCTTGATGTTTTTTCCCTTAGGGAGAGATTCTTTTTTGGAAAAAAATTAAGTTTTTAATTTTTAATTTTAATTATAATTATTATTAATAAAACTTCATAAAAAAAATTTATTTTTATCACATATACTATAATTACATTTTTTTTTATTATCAATTTTTTTTCTTTGAATAAATAATATGTCTTCACAAACTTTACATCCTAAACAAGATGCTGTCAATAAATTCTTAACTGTTCTAAAGGATTTTAGAAAAGATGAAACACGAGTTAACAATACTCTTGGTTTTACTCCTGTAAGTAATGTTCTTAATTAGTTAAACCCCAACAATTTCTTTCCTCGTTTTACTTATTGTTCTCACCTTTTCCGAATAAAAAAAAAGTTTGATAAAAAGCAGCTTAAACAAGCAACTGTTATGGCTTCCGAATTAATGATTGTAGCCAATGAAAACCCTAATGACCCAATTGAAAATGTTTTAAAAGTTGCTCAAGAAAAAACTAAAACAAATGATCCAGAACTTGTTCATTGGGCTCTTATGATCTTTATATCTCATCATCCAAGTGCACGTTCTGGTCAATTGCATATCCCACCATTAACCAAACATACCCCTCATAACTCTGTTCCTAAACAACAACTTAATGTCTTGGCTCCAGGTCCTGCTATCTTTGGCAGTGGTGGATTAACAGCTGCTGCTGGTCAACAACAACAAGAATCCCTAATTCAAAATATTAATGAAGCTGAATTTGCTATAAATTTCTGGCATGAAGATCCAAATTTTAATGAACATCATGAACATTGGCACATTGTCTATCCTGGTGAGGGTGTTCCTGATCCTAGTAATCCAAAAAACTTCATTCAAAAAGATTGACAAGGCGAACTTTTTATCTATATGCATCGTCAAATGTTAGCAAGGTAATATAAATAAATACAATAAATATAAATGTATAAATAAATTTTGGGGTAATGAATAATAATACGTTGTATTAAAAATATCCATTTTTAGACATGATGCAGAAAGAGCTGCTTTAGGAATTTCTCTTGTCAATCCATTAGACAATTTTGATGAACCAATTCCGGAAGTGTACAATCCGAGTGGAAATCTAGTTGACAGTGATCATACACCATTTGCAACTCGTCCTTCTGGATTACGTATAGGTGACTTGGGTGAGGGGATGACAGTTGCTGAATTGAAACAAATTGAAGCAAATATTAAAGCAGCTATTAAGAAAGGTCAATTTAAAGATGGTTCTGTCATTACACCTGATCTACTAGGCAAGACACTTGAATCCTCATATTCAGGAAATTATCAAGAATGGGAAAAGTACATATGGTTGGCTCGGTCTAAAGACCTCATATTGCTGCGCCACACGCTCAAATTTCAAAAATTGCGATTTCATGATTCGTTCAAAAATGCAATAAAAACTTTTCAAAAAGGCTTCACGTGATTTTGGTTAAAAAATTTATTTTCCTTCCTGCCAAATTTAGACATGATTGTCGAGTATTAGTCTAAATTTAGTAACGATGAACTAAAACTAGTCTAAATTTAGCAATGATCCTAGTGCTCAAATTCTTCATGAGCATAGTAAAGTACATGTTTTAAAAAAGAATAGAACTCTACAACAAATAATTTTTTTGATAAAATCTCTTTATTACATTAAAATTAAAGACCTATTCCATCAACTAATAGAGCTATTTTTTTAAAGGTAGGACAGAAAATGACTTCTATACTTTTAAAATTTGCACAAAATTTAGGAGGTCTTTAGACCAAGCCAACTATATTATGGAAGTTTGCATAATACTGGTCACATAATGCTTGCTTATATTAACAATCCTGCTAATGCTGCTAGTAAGCTATAATTTTTTTTAAATTATCATTTGAAAAAATAAATAATTAAAAATAAATTATTAAAAATAGATGCTGAAAATGATCCTGGAGTTCTTTATATGCCACATACAGCTGCTAGAGATCTGATATTTTGGAGGTGGCATCAACATATTGATGATATATTTGATTTATGGGTGAAAACACTTCTGCCTAATGAATTTTCATCAGATGCTCCACCTGTAAAAATAAGAAATGGTGATGTGATATTGGCATTCAAAGATTTACTAAATTTAAGTTTAAACAATCAAACACAAGATAAAGAAGTGGCAGAATTTGGTGAAAAAAATTTCGGTGGTGTGAATTTTGATTCGGACGTATCAAACAATCTGGTGGTCACCAAAGAACTACAAACAAAAATGAAAACCAGGAAATGGACTTGGGTGGAGGACAGTGGTTTGACTGAAGATATTAGTTACCTATTTCCCAGGGAATATTATTATTATTTCCGTGTTGAGAATACTTCTAGTTCTAATCAAGATGTAACATTTAGGGTGTATCTGGCACCAGAAGAACTTGCCAATTCACATAGACATTGGATTGAACTTGACAATTTCAAGACAACAATACCAGCACAATCAAAAATAGTCACCACAAAAAACTGAAGATGAGTTAGATGACACAACAACACTACCAGGTACACAAGAGGATCTAGCAGAAAAATATTGTGACTGTGGTTGGCCATTCCATCTTTTACTTCCACATAGTCAAAAGAGTGGAATGAAATTTAAATTATTGGTATATATTTATAACCGATTGGTCAAAAGATAAAGTCCCTACTTTGAGTAGGAGTGGTAGTTTGAGTTTTTGTGGCGCAGAAAAACCAGCTGACAAGTATCCTGACCTAAGACCAATGGGATATCATTTTGATAGACCTTTTAAAGATGGATCTTATGAAAAGGTTTTTTGATTTTTTGTGGAAATATTAATTGATTGCTTGTTTTTTATCAATTAATAATATTAACACTTTCATATTCTATCCCATATAAATATAGACATTTTCTGGTTTGAATAATGCTACAGTATCAGATATTTCAATTCGTTGGGTTGATAATTTCCCCGAGGTCCAAGTTACTGCATAAAATGTGTATATATATATAACAAACAATTTTTTTTTTTTTTTTTGTAAAATATGATTTTTAAGACTTGACCAATATTCTATGATATTTATAATCTATGATTTATTTTGTTACACATGGGAAAAGCAATTTAAATAATTTAAGTATTTAATATGATTATTTTAATACTAAATAAAATGACATTTTAAATTATAATTGATAGTAAAGCTTTATTGTTTTAATTAAAGATGTTAGCCGAAATTACTTAGTAAATGATCATCACTGAATCCGAAATGCCAAAATAGTTTTTCATAGTTGCTGAAATTAACTTTATTAATTGCCGAAATTATACTCAAAATTATTTAAACACTTTAACTCAATAGCCAAAATTCTGGGTAGTGTTTTTATGTCCATCATTATGAAAATATTGTAAATCTGAAATTGCCTGCTGAAATTGATTTTTTCAAAAACCATTTTGGCTAACATCTTTAGTTTTAATGCTAATTATTGGATCATCAAGGAAAAAATAAAAGAACAAACATGAGTGGGAAGTTTTAGAAATTGTTAATATCAGTCAAACGATATATCACAGGAAGTGTAATTACATATATAAAACAGAAAATTCAGCTTGTGAAACAAACCAGTTTTTAAATATCTCATTATTTTATAACAAATTCAAACATCATTATTAATCAAAAATAAAACTATGACATTATAGCTTTCTAACGAGCTCTCTTCCATATTGATAGAGGCTCTCTATGTCAAGTTATGTTTATTCAAAAACAGCATTACTTTTTATTTCTAAGCTAAGATTTTTTACAATATTGCCTTTATAAACTTGGTGAGTGGATGAAAAGATGTAAAATATTATAAGTTTTCATATAGGTATAGCTTTATGTGGATTGTTGTTTATTAAAGTTTAGTGAAAATGGCAAAAAACTCCAAAAAACATATAAATTTATTTATCAATACACAAAAAGGAAAAAGTGTGGGCAGGAGATTATCAGGAGTAATGACCAAAAATAGATAATTAATTTTCAAATGCGGTAATTTGGTTGATAAAACCTTAATACCAAAGATTTTTTTCTATTTTATTAATAACCTCCTAATTTTTTTTCCAAAAGAAGGAACAAGTCCTAAAAAATCTGTCTCAAATTTGGTGGAGATTGGTAAGCAAAAAAGGGTTAAAATTAAAGTTTGTAGCTAATTTTATTAATAGAATTTCCCAATCGTTTAAGGGTAGGGGGAATCACGTGTTAATTTAATAGTAAATCATGGCTCAATTTTTTTGCCTGCCGGGTACAATGTTGATCAATATTTTTATGAAATATTAATATACATTAAAATTTCCTATAATAAAAATTAAAAAAAAAAAATTATATATATATATATATTTATTTATTTATTTATAAATAATAATCCCAAGAATGAGAATATATCATTTCTTCAGCACCCTCAGCCAGTGTTGGCAATTGGACTTATAGGACTGAACTTATTGGACCAGTCCAAGCAGTCCAGTCCAATAAATCTATTGGACTTTGGACCAATTCTAAGGGGTAGCCAATTATATTTCAGCATTTAAATTAATGATGACAGATAAAATTTTATTATTATTAACAATATTTTTTAAAAATTATAACAAAGAAATTATATATTTTATAATTCTTGATAAAAAGAAGGATCATCTAAATTATTTTCAAAGATTTCTTCTATTTCCCATTTTCCTTTCTGTCTATTAATAGCTGGGTGTCTAGTCCTTTTGATTCTTTCAATTGACCCTATTGGACCTACTAATTCATTTAATTCTTCTTCTTCTTCCTCTTCTAATACCTCATCATTCAGCATTTCCATCCACCGATCCATCACTGCATTCCATTGAACCTCATTTTCAATGTTTCCTATAAAAGATTCATTGCTTATTTCACTTTCTTGTATTTCTGATTCCTCAACCGGAGCAACATAATTTTTGGAATGGAATTTTTTTTGTGATTCATCAATCTCAGTCTTTTTTCTTCTATTATTCATGTCATTCCTTAATTGACCCATTGATAACACCTTGTTATGCTAAATAAATATTAATAAAATTAGTCACTAACAAACAATAACAATATATTATATTCAATTGAGTTACTTACATCAAGCCTATTTCTTCTGTCCGAATGTAAATACCCCATATTAGAAAACAAGCGTTCAACTGCGGCAGTCGTCACTGTTATTTGAAAATACTCTTTTTGCAACTTTATGAAGTTCTTTATTAGTACCACCACCCATATAACTCCAATATTTTAGTGGGTCATCATTAAATTGTTCCGCTATATCAGGATCATAGGGATCTTTTCCTTTTGCAAAATCTTCCAATTCATTAAGAATATTATTGGGTCTTTCATCAAACCAAACAACATAATAATATATGATCCATTTTCCCAAGTTAGGAAGAGTTAATTTCTCATTGTTGGAATTGAATTTTGTCATTTTGTATTGTGGGTTTAATAAGAAAGATATTAATAATAAAGGCTGCTCCCATGAAAACCACCGATTTTGCAATCATATCAACATTTGATTTTTAAATTCTTCCAATGGAATTTCTTGTATCATTTGAACAATTTTACCAAAACTATATAATACATGATCTAAACGTGCTTTATCCCTCTGTAATTTATTTAGAGCTGCACAAAATGGATGTAGTAATCTTACAAGTTCTCTTAGATCACACCACCAACTATCATTTTCAATAATATTACAAATCCTTATTGGTAATGTGATAACTTCATTTTCATTAACAATAAAAGTGTCTTCTGGATTCAATTTAGTTACTAAAGACTATGATAAATAAAATTATAAGCTATTTACAATATATCATATTAATTAGTGAAATACATTGTATAATGGTGACTTACTTTAAGTGCAGATTTTGTTTTTAACAAGTTAAAATAACTATGAAAAAATGAATTCCATCTTGTGTCACAAGGTAGTGATAAATGAACATATTTTCCTCTGTAAATTGAATCTTGTTCAGTGTGTAATTGACCCATAAAATATGTACTTTTTCTAAAAGTTGAAATAATATCAATTGCTAAGCTTGAAACTCTACTAAAATTTGATGATTCTTTAAATAAATCTCCAACACACAAGTTGAGTTGATGAGCATAACAGGGGAGGAAGACCTTCTCATGAAAAGCTTTACGAAGATGCTTCCTAAATATATAAATATATTTATTATGATTTTTTTTCAATAATTTATTAAAAAAATTAATGACACACCTAGCTGCTGTGTATTCACCTGCTGAATCTGTTACTAAACAATTCATTTTTATACCCTGTTCAGCAAATTCATCAATAATATTTTCAATATAAGAATATACATCAGTCCATTGAGATCTTTCAGTACTAATATCTTCAGCTTTCCATATAAGATTACGACCAGATGATGTTACTAATATTGTACCCAATATCTTTTGTTTTCTGACATTGGTCCAACCATCAAAAATAACAGACACACCAAAATCATCTTTTTTAGCAATCATTTCTAAATCTTTTTTTAATTTATTTGCTTCTTCATTCAAAATTCTACCACCTAATGTTCTATGATCTGGTAGTTGTATTGTTGGGTTTAACCAAGAAAAGAGTTCTTTTGTTTCTGGATTATTTATCCATTGAAAAGAAAATCCATTGGAGACTGTCATGTGAATTAATAATTGTTCAAATTTTTTCATGTCATTGCCTTTAATAGAACAAGAAAGATATGATTGAATATTTTTTACATTTGACTTTCTATTTGTATTAATATCTATTAATGATATTTAAATAAAGTTATTCTTTTTATCTTATTCTTTTTTAATTAATAAATACACTAAAATTCATACCCAAGAGTCTTTTTTTATTTGGAGTAGAAGGATTTTGTAAATTATTTATTTCATTAGATGATGTATTAATAAAACCTTCATTATCATAAAGTTCATTTTCAATTATAGTTTCTGTATCATTATCAGCAACCCAATTTAACCATTCTTCCTCATTTGAAAAATTATTTCGGAAAAATTTACAATTCAACAAATGATTACGACAAGTTTTTTTAGTTAAAGTTATTTTCTATTCATTGATATTTATATTAGAGCTTTTACAAGCAATGCAAATACCCAAGTGATTATAACCATTTGGTTTATCAGGTAAAACATGAAAGTATTTTTTATATTGGTTACTTCCTCGAGGCATTGAAAGAGTAATAAATTGTATGTGATTACATTCTTTACAGTAATAAAATTATTTGAGAGAATTTTTTATCTTTTGTATGACAAAGTCCAAATAAAGTCTAGTCCAGTCCAATAAGTCCAGTCCAGTCCAACAAGTCCAGTCCAATACCAATTGGACTGGTCCAATGTACAACTAAGCCACTTTTTTTACTGCGCCAATTGGACTGGACTTATTGGACTGGACCGGTCCAAACAGTCCAGAGTCCAATAAATGATTGGACTGGCAATTTTGACAACACTGCCCTCAGCAATATCTATAATTTTGGAATTTGTCAATGACTTATACCAACTGACCATTTTTGAATTGTAAAAATAAAATAAAATAAGAAGCCTTCATGTAGAAATAATTACTAGTAGATAACAATTTATCAAATATTTATTGAACTTTATTATTTTATGAGAATTTTTTGCCAAATAAGTATTTTATATTATGGAATGTGTAACTTTTACTAGGAAATGAGCAGGTGCTTACTAAGAAATGAGCAGGTGTTTACTATGGAAGAAGTTATGTTTATTTTGAAACGCGTTAAGTTTTTTGAAGAAATTTACAAATTTTTATTAAGAAGTTTTGCTTGAAGTACTTTCAAATAGTTAAGAAACACCAAAATTAGATATAAATAATTTTGAAGTTGTTTCAACGTGTCTTGCCGTTGTTTTACTTTTAAGACAATTACTAATTTGGGAAAACTCAAATTTTTGAAAAAATTGAGCCCCGGATTTACTATTAAATTAACACATGATTCCCCCTACCCTTAATGCAGTGTTGTGCAATTGGAACATTGTAATGCTATTGGAATGTTCCAATATGGCTCCAATATGGTTTCAATGTAGATTTTCAAATGATATTGACCAATAAAATTTGTGTGTGAGACACTCTAATTGAATTTCATTGGTTAACTTCATTGGAACCACATTTGGAACATTCCAATTTCAATTAGAATTTGTTGGAATGTTCCAATGAAATTTTATTGGAACCATAAATGGCACAACACTGCCTTAATGTGACACATCATTCAACTAATATATGTCTTCCTACAAATCTAGTATATTAACCAATTAATTGATCTAACATACTTTTTACAAATGCTGGACACTGATTGGTTGGAGGAATTTTATTATAACGTGTCACGAGTATCAGGTTAAAAGATGTGACCGTCAAAATAGGTCTTTGTAGAAGACAGTCTATTCATACTATGAATATTACAACGTATTACTTCAAGAGATTCAATTGCTTAAATAGTGAAATTTCCGATTTCTTTAATTATAGTTCTTCACTCAAAAATGAAAATTAAATTAATAAATCTAAATATCTAACACAAAACTAATAGTTGTGGCTATACATGAAGTCGAAATATTTCGATTTGAAAGATCAAAAGTCGAATTTAAAAGTCGAAATGTCAAAATTACATCATACAACAGGCTAAACATACAGAAAATTAATCAAGAGTTTCAAATCCTCATAACTCGGTCAATATCTGACTGTTTTGAATAAAACAACTACCATTCGAATTCTCTCAATGAGATGAGTCTAAAGAAATGTAATTCACAAAATCCGAATCACTGATTATTGGGATATTTTGGTTTACTGTATATATTACAATAACTCGCCACTTATTCAATTTTGACCATTTAGACTTCATGTATAGTTGTGGTTTGAGAGAGTTGTTATGCAACCATTAATCATACCTTTACCCAAAAATTTTGTTGTTATGCGGCCATCAAAAATGCTATTATATTATTTAATGTAGTTTTAAATGGTCAAATGATTGATCTGGTCACACAACCTTTATAACCAAAATTTCAGGGCCTAAGTCACAGATTGATTATAATGATTATTACTATTGTAAAATGCTACTTACAAAAGAGAATCAATAGATTATATAAGCAAAGAAAGATGAGACTTTAAATTAGCACATAAGAATTTTAAATCATGCACATACCATACCTATTAGCTTGATAGTTTGATTGGCATAGTGAATGCAGAAAATCATGTATTTTTCCGCAAAAATATCCGCAAATTTGCGTAGCATCATGAAAATATCCAATTTTATTGGTGGGTTGGGTGCGTGTTATCCTTATTTAGAAATTGATTTGGCGATTGCGGATATTTTTGCGGAAAAATACATGATTATTACATGCTAACTACATTCTTTAGATGAAATAAATAATCTGCAGCATATTCCCTCATTTTACAGCTAATCAAATAAAAAAAAATGTATCAAAGAAACAGAGAATTTAGGAAAATAATTGATTTGTATAATAAAACATACTAAAATCCAAATTGTTTTATGACTTTTCTCTTGTTAGCCCTTTCCAAAGGATTTTATTAAGTAGTGCAAAAAATCCCACTTTGATGCCAGAAATCAGTGTTGACATTTGGCTGACAAAGAAATATATGTATAATCATATAACAATTTTATTTATAGGACAGGAGACTATTTAGGCAAAAGCCCATATCCCTTACCTGAAATTATAAATTTGGTTAATATTGAAAATGAAATTATGTGAATTGCGAATTCACATATGTGAAATTCAAATTTACATGTGTGAAATTCAAATTAGCCAATCAGAATTTCACCCCACTCCATAATATTTTAATTTCACATAATTTCAATTTCACATACAACAATATCAAAGAAACAGAGAATTTAGGAAAATAATTAATTTATATAGTAGAATAAACACTCTTTTACCGCTTTCCTCTTGATGCCAGAATATGGAAAAAATCCAGCAGGTTCTTTGAAAAGAAAAAGTACTAAATGCAATTTCAGAGCCTCAACCCTACTCTGAATTTCAAATTCCACCTGAGCTTGAAATGAGTTACAGATTCTCATTACTTTAATGGATCTAGATGTTTATGTATATACTTTTCAACTGATGGTATATTAAAATATCAACAATTAAGCCAAAGCTAAATGTTATCAAATTAAGGGAAGAATTTTTAAATATGATAGATAATAATAATATGTCCAAAGAAAAATGGAGAGATTTTGCAAACTACTCTAATGAATTATTCAAAAAAAATTTCTTGCATAAAGAAAATGCTTAAGATAATTAATCAAATAATACTTGACAAGACATTGAATATAATTAAAGAGATAATTATGCAATCTGCAAAAAATCACACTGCCTATAAATGGACAACTAATATGATTCAAATCAAAAAGACAAATCACCAGCATTAAACAACATTATTTTCATTTAAAATCTATCAGTAAAATTCTATTAAGATTAAGAAAATGCAAAATTAACAATAAAGGATTTCCAAACAATATAGAATGGAATGAAATGAAAACAAACCTTGAGAGCATTTCAAACAACATTAAATATCCACCAGAAGAAATTGATATAAATATTAATGTCAATAATATCAGCAAAATAAAAAAAGTCACTTTCAAAATATATAATACATTATCTACAATATGCAAAATAAAAGAAAACAAGTAAAACAAGACAAAAACAAATTAGAGAGGAGTTTGGAGAATTTTTATTATTCATTTTGAAATATAGAAAAGACAAAAAAAAAATAACAGATATTGATTAATTAAATCTTGATTATTACCATTATTATGTAAACAAATTTTAATGATTTCTAGGTTGAGCTCAAATTTAGTAACAAATATTTTGGCACATCCTGGATACTCATTTGAAATTTTTTATCCAAGATGATGTCTTGTATGAACTTGTAAATTACCTTTTTGATAAAATGCTTTTGCACATCCTGGATATTTACATTTGAAATCTTTCATTCCAGGATGATGTTTTGTGTGAACTTGTAAATTACTTTTTTGACAAAATGCTTTTGTACATCCTGGATATTAACACTTGAAATTTTTTATTCCAAGGTGATGTCTTGTATGATTTAGTAAATTCCCATTAAAATGAAATGCTTTGTTACAACCTGGATATTCACATTTGAAATTTTTTTCACCATAAGTTATACAATGTTGGTTGAGTAATGATCCATTCTTGAAAGATTTACCACAGTTCGAGGCTCTAGAAAAAAATCCATTGTTGCTTTTATCACTATTGCAATCCTCACTATCAGTTTCATTAATACTATCTTCATCTTCATTATAAATTTCAATTTCATTCTCTTTCATTTTCATCAATTTTACCATCATGATCATTTATTTGCACTTATATTTTTATTGACGTTGGTGCCGTGATTATAATTATGATGATTTTTTTAATTTTATTATCATTATCATTAATATATACCCAACGATCTATTAAAGCAAAAGTATATAATACCATTTTAATATCGCGCAATTTTGACGATCATAACTAAAATGTGTGGTTGAATTTCAGTTAATATTTTTGTAATATAAAGCACCAAGTTTCATACCCATTAATTTAATTTATTTTGATATTTTGTTTAGGAATCAAATGTTAAAATTACAATTATTCTAATCGTCCTTCCTTATCTCAGCAAAAGTTTAATCGACCTTGGTCATTATTTCTAGGATAAATTGGCATAGAAATTTTAGAAAACGCGAGAACAAAAACGTAGTGCCTGTTTGCTGATGCAATGGAGCAGTCTCTCAGCAGATGTGGTAGATGCTTGTCAACTGAACATACAGTTTTTTTTATCCATGCCAATCACAGTTATTAGAAGTTCCAAAATTTCAGATAGTTCATGTTAATTTCAGTCGGTTACTTGCAGATAAAAATTTCCTGGACATAATTAAGTTGAGCTTTAGGCTCGCCTGAATTGTACTAATGATAATAGCTAACTCTACCTGAAGACATCAAAAATCTTCCTCGAAAAATAATCTCGACCAATGATTGAAGGAAATTCAGAGAGTAATCAAGGACTCTGGATTTCTAAGAACTTGTTTAAATACATATCTTATAAAAGGGATTTTTGCTCATTGAAATATGAGTAAAAATTTTAATGAAGCAAAGATGACACCAATATAAGCGTAGAATGGGTAGTCTATTAAATTTTGTATTTAAGCTCAATATATATTTTTTTTTTTTTTTAGAAATTGTCATAACAATGGTAATTACGAAAACAATGATATGGGAAAAAGGAAAGATAATTTTATTTTCACCTATCTCATATCTCAAGGACTATTTATTTTTTTTATAAAATTGGCTTCTTAAAAGTTTCATTTCTCCATGGTCTTAGCATTATCATTACTTGGGAGATGACACAAACTATAAAAAGATAACAGTTCACAGCTTTCACTTTATTTCAATCACAGATTTTGTTTGTTGATTTGTTGATTAAATAATGGAGGCCATTGACATTATTTGATTCATCTTTGATAAAAATTATTTTACTACTCATTAGCAGTATGGATTGGTTCTGGATAGAAACGGATGAACATTATTATAAAGTTATTCTTGACGCTTGAGATCTGTAGGAGTAGGTATCAATTTTGGAAATGTCACAAGGTTTTAATATCTTTTATAATATTGTGATTCTTCAATACATTAAATTCATGAAAGGAACCATTAGTAATTCTCCATAACAGGATTAGAAACATTCAAAAAAAAAGATGGTTGAAATTCCATATACATCATTCAGCTTCTTTTAAATTGGATTTATTATCAAAATATTCCCACTTTCATAGCATCGAGTTCTATTCAACCCAGCAGTATTAGATCTTTTTACAACATCTGCAGCATTATCCACACAATCTACAGTTGCCTTTATGAGTTTTTTATTTGTCCAAAGCTACCATCACGTTTGAATTTGAATGATGAAATACTTTCATAATAATTATAAATGCAAATGCAAATAAATCAAATAGTTATATTATTATTTATGTTGTCACCAAATCACAACAAGGATACCAGATGCAACTTTTTGTGACGATTGCAACCATAGTCAAGTCATATAAAATGGATGCAGCCTTGGGCCTATTTCAACCTTATTTTAAAAAAATTTTGATAAAAAGACGCAGTGTTGTATGTTTTTTACAATTGATTTAATAATACTTTAAACTTGAATTTCATATTTAAATAAAAAATATACATTGCCTCTTGAATTTACATAAAATAGTATAAGATACATAATTGTTTTTAAAATAGAACAGAAACCTTGCCACTAATATTTTTAATTGTTAAACTACCATTTGTAAATCTATTATTGGATGTATTTGTGACGTCGACTAAATGTTTAGTTGCAGATTGAGCTGAATTAGTTGTGATTACACCATTTCTTGTAGAAATATCATAACTACCGGTGAACCCATCGATCTATTATTATATAATTAATGAATTATCATTCATTACATTAAAAAAAAAGCATTTTAGTATAAACAATAATAACAATAATATGTCCATAATATAAATAAAATATAATATTATACTTACAAAATTCAAATTAACCTGACCACGATCGTTTTTGATCCTAACTATAGGAGAGGTCACATTATCAGCAATTCCAACATTTAGATTTAAATCAGCATTATCAGCATTAATATAAACTTGATCCTCGATGCCTTTAATTGTTCCGCCTATGTTACCATTATCATTAAAAATCATCAATGATTTAGCAAGCAAACTATTAAATTGCAGTGTAGCATCATCATTATGAATTATTATTGTTTGGTTGTACTTGATAGGATTCTCTACAAATGTTGTATCAAAATCACCTATATTAATCGTTGTGGCATTGGTTGTTAGATCCACGTTCAATGGTAGGATGAGTTCAATATTTGCTACTATACATTTAGGCGGCATACTAACACCAAATAAAACTGTCGAGGGTGCTTGATCCTAAATTATAATATTTTTGCAGAGTTTACAAATGAATAAGTGAATAATGAATGACCCTAGTTTTTCTCCAAAAAAAAAATAAAAAATAAAAGATTATAAATTACAATTTTTAGGTAAAAAGATCTTTTAGATATTCCTTGCTCAATATAAATCCTATCATTTGCCAAAGAATTATATTGTACTCTGACAAGTGCATTAGTTTCAGTGGTTGAATCAGACTGTGAGACACTTATAGATCCATACTAAATCAATGTAAAATGATACATTAACAAATAGCGGCAAATAATAATTAAAAACAAAAGGAATACTTGATAACTACCTTGACATATTTTGATAAGATTCTGAAATTATTTTGAACATTTGGATTAAAACTCAAGAGTTGAGTATTATTTGAATCACCTAATTCAAGAGAATTACATGCTCTATGATTAGAAGCTCCAATTGACTAGTTGATTGATTGAATGTGAATTAATTTAATTTTTAAGATGTATCGAATAATAATAATAAAACATTTTTGTTTTTCTTTCCATTAAAAAAAAAAAAAAAAAAACAATTGTGAATAGATAGGTGTTCTATACTTACAGCTATAATAATAATCACCAATATGATTATTCCAAATATTAGCAAACAAAGTTTAGTTCGTATTTTCCTTTTACAACAACAACAGCAATATCCATTTATATTGCCTATATATATAAAAGATTAAAAATAATTTTTGATTTGATGAATGATTATTAATTAATTGATTGACAAAAAAAAAAATTTATAATATTATTTATAACCTTTTTTTCTATTATTATTAGAAGATGCACTTAAGTTATTTGTTAAATAAAAATTTGGATCACGGTAATTTGGAACAATTTGCTGATAAGTTGGTAGTTCGTCATCACCATCAACATCTATTAAAACTGGTAACGGTATTTTCACCACTTGTTCATATGATGGAGGAAAAAGTAAATTACTATTATTGTCATCATTTTTATCATCATCATTACTATTCATATCATTATTAATATTTGTTAATGAAGAAGATGATGATCCAACAGCATTTGTACTGTCATTATTATTATTATCAATATCATTATTAATATTCGTTGTTGAAGAAGATGAAAGAGAAGAAGAAGAAGACCCAACAGCATTTGTACTGTCACTATTATCATTATTATTATTTTCAATATCATTATTAATATTCGTTGATGAAGAAGATGATGGCCCAACAGCATTTGTACTGTCACTATTATCATTATTATTATTATCAATGTTATCATCATCATTACTATTCATATCATTATTAATATTCGTTGATGATGAAGATGAAAGAGAAGAAGATGATCCAACAGCATTTGTACTGTCACTATTATCATTATTATCAGTATTATTACTACTATCAGTATTGTTACTACTATCAGTATTGTTACTACTATCAGTATTATTACTACTATCAGTATTATTACTACTGGTAGTATTATTACTAGTATTATTATTATTATCGGCGTTGTTATTATTATCGGCGTCGTCTAATTGTGTCATTTCTTCTGGAGGTTCTTCTCGAATTTCTTGATGCTGCTGTTCTTGTAATAATTCTTGTGGTGGTTGTGTCATAATTTTTTTATTTATTTATATTAAATTTTTTACATGAAAAAATTTTACAACAATAATAATAATAATACAATAATAATAAATAGTAATAAATACAAATGATCGTAAAAAAACTAGTAATAGTAGTAACCAATATGTTATTTTTAGTAATTAATAATACGATTGAGACATATTTAGTGCAATAATAGCAATGTATAAATTTATGAATTCAGTCGGCGTGCACAGCAAAAAAGAAAAAATTAGACTTGCGAAATTGCAGCCATTTCTAAATTAGGTTCAAATATCCCTAAACTGTTTCAGAACTCCGAAAAAACTCCGAAACTATAATATGGGCATACTGCAACAAAACCAGACAAAGTGAACATTGGTATTACCAAGATTTTAGTGATAAAAATCACTTGTACTATTTATTATTATATAGGATTATCTCTGTATAAAGATAATTAATATTACCATCATCAATTCAATTAATTACTTTTTATTATTAAAAAAAATAGCATCAATAACAATAAAAACTATGGGCAAAAAAGAATACCACAAATTATATGATTTTCTTCTTTCAATATTATCTAAGTTTATTTTTTATTAAAAAAAAAAACAATTTATATATAAGTATAGCAGCGGAACAAGAGTGCAAGAGAATAAGAGGATTGAAATTTATGTACTTACAAGAAAATAAATGCAAAAGGCAGCGGCAAATAAAAATTTAATTTTTCTAGATTATTTTTTTTTTTGTCTTTGAGGTGGTAGAATTTTATTTTCAAGTATCCAATCAATAAAATCATCATCATCATATCGTTGTGTATTTTTTAGTATATTTGTAATTGTTAAAGATTCTGATAACATATCAAGGTTTTTGTCCAATATTTCCTAAAAAAAAAAATAAAATAAAAATAAAATAAAAAAAATTACTTTTGTCAAAGATAATTTTTTAATGCTTACCCTTAATTTAATAAAATTAATAAGTGCATATTCAATACATTTGTAATTATGAAATGTTTGAGGGAGCTCAAACTCTGATATTTGTTGAAATACATATAATTGTTTCTCTGGAATGTTCATCTGAAATATTTCTATTTTCATTCCTGTAAAAAAAAAAATAGTTAAAATTACCACTTTTCATCAATCTATGTTGTTATGCAATCAACAAAAAATATTAACCAGATACAATTATTGCAAAAGCTCTGATTTTTGAAATAAAATTTTTATTTCCATGTGGTAATTTTAAATAAATTTCTCTAAGCATATCAGATAACATCCCAATAGTTTTTGATTTGTCATATGTATATTCTCTTAAATTTTCTTCTTTTTTCAATTCAAGAGCGAGTATCTCTACATCTCTTATTGTATATTCAACCTTTACATCAGGTACAAATGCTTTTTCAACCTTGTTGCCAATTGAATATTCCTTGTTTTTACTGTGTTTATTAGCACATAGTGGCCTATAAATAAATGCATAAAAGTTATATTTCATTTTTCAAATCAGGAGATTTTTGCAAATAGGGTTTCTATTCAAATAATCATTCAATACAATTCAAATACTCATATTAATAATTATGAATAAAATGAATGACTCAAATAAGCCTTATTTGAATAGAAACACTATTTGTGGCAAAGCCTCATGTAATGTACAGTATGTTACAAAAAAATATTTCCAATTTTTTTTGTAACTTACCTCTGTGTGTAAACATTATATTTTTCCTCATTATAGAAGAGATTTTTTAAAATAAACGAAAAAATTTCTCGTGATAGTTGTGGCTCAGATAACAGAAATTTAAAATATTTTCTGTTTAAATTGAAACAGGTTATCCTATAAATAAGTGTGCATATAGATGAGTAAAACATTAATAATAATATTAGTAGATGTCACTACTCACATTTTTTCATTAACCTTTCTAATAAATGATTTCATGCTATCCACAAAATCATAACTCAACATATTTTCAACTTGATATAGTTCCTTCAATATAACAATGCCATCCTCAAGATTATTAATATTTGATAACCTGTTTATAATTTTTACAATATCATCATGTTCAAATGGTGTGACATCCAAATTGAATTTGAATTTTTTGTTGAAGATTTTTAATTGCCCAGATTTATACTGTTTCTCTTCCAAGTTCATGATTCCAATTTTTATTAAATCACTATAAACAATGTTAAACAGTACCATATTATCAAAAACTCTTGAATGTAAACATTTTCATAAATCAAAATTAAAGCATACATACTTCTTACTTGCAGCTTTAAATATCGGAATTAGTAACCTTTGATTTTCATCCTTAAAAATTATTTAATAAAACATTGGAGTAAACAGTATCAAAAAAGGTATGGAATGCTATTTTAAAAAAATATAAAAACTTACGCCTCCAAAAAAAGGTACAACTTCATCTGTGTAGTAGATGATTATATATATAATTAATTTACCAATGAGTTATAATTCAACTCCTTGAATAAAAATGAAATGAAGTCTAGTTTTATTAAATCCCAATAAAATTTTACCTATTTCGTGAGCTTCATTTTCCTATGGGTTGAGAATTAAATTAATATCAAAAAGTTTAGGTTTATTCCAAGAAAATATATTATTACTTAGATTATTATTACTATCAGCACATTCCTTTGATTTCCTATGATTATTAATAAAACAAATAAAAAAAAAGATTATTATTATTTGTTAACTAGAATGACAAGTTGCAATTATCGCAACCATCACCATTCTTTTTATAATAATTAGAGTGACGGAGCATAGTGGAAGTTTGTTGTTACACTAAATGTTGTACAGAACTCATTGCTTCTGAAACTTCACCAGTGTATAGTTGTTACCTCTCTAAATTGGAGATCAAGTTCGGATCAAATTCAAATCCAGTTTATCACTTACTTTTTATTGCCAGAATGTTTGCCGTGTATTGTAAAGCTACGTTGCACAATATAAAAAATTAGTGTAACATTTCAAATTTCCACTATGCTGAGTGACGGCGAGTGGCGATAACCACCACCATTCTTATGATAAACACTTACGCGCTCCTTTCGATGGCTAGATTCGTTTTTCTTTTTTTATTAATGCTTCTCGACATCTTGTTAAATTTTTTTAAAAAAAAAGATTAATTTTATTTGATCAACAAACGCGTCATTGATTATTTATTATTGGCACTTGGTGTTACACGGAATTTTTTTTGTTGACACGATTGATTTTTTTTTTTCTTTATTTTTTGTCTTTATTTTTTGACAGAGTCCAAGATGACAAAACGTGAATCTCCTAAAGAGGACGTGTTAATAACTAACCAGAGGTACTATTTTTTACTTGTATTGATATAAAGTGGTGTCTTTTATTTTATATAAATATTTTAATTGAATCAAAACGCGGAGCAGATCTTGCTGGGGTAATTATAAGATCCTTATCAACAACAAACGATTGGTATTTTTTCTTTTTGTAATCATTATTAATATATAATTATAATATTATAATTACAAGATGTCAAGGTAGCACACCGTTGAAAAAGAGACATTTCGATATGCGACGTTTGATTATCGGAGATTAGCAGACGTCGAAGCACGCACGCTACCTTGAACACTTTACAGCCATTCTCACGTATTCCTCATGTACAAAAGGCTAATCTGACTGCTCGCCCCGATGATACAACAATGCTACAGAATTTTCAGGGGGGGAGCAAGGCCCTGAAGTTTATCATGATTGCATCAATCGTCAAGGTAATCTTCCCAGACCAGAGAAGGCTGCTGACATTCTAGCTGAAAAGTTGCCTGCAACGATCCCACCTCTGGGTAAGGATGGCTCTGTGACCAAGATGTTGCAACTCTGGAGGAATATCAAGAGAATCTGCAATTTGTTCCAAGCACAGGAAGTCGCAATTCAGAGCAGGGTTGGTGGCCCTGAAATTGCATTGAACTCTGATGTTAAGAGGAAAGTTGTAAATAGTGTTAGTTTTGTATAATCATTTTCCTAAATTCTCTGTTTCTTTGATACTAACCAATTTATAATTTTGGGTAGGGAACTGGATTGGTTTTTGCTCAATAAGTCCCTTGTTCTGTAGATTAAAATTATTGCATGATTATATACATCTTTGTCAGCAATATGGCTAACAATAAAAAAGTCATAAAATGGTTCGGATTTTGTTTGGTATGTTATAAATTAATCATTCCCATAAATTTTCTGTTTCTTTAATTTTGTTAGACCAACTGAACTTATTATTTTTTTAAATGGGGGCTTTTTCCCATATAATCCACCCTATGATAAAAGAGTGTAGCTCAATGAGAGCATATATCTCACAAGTATAAGTATTGCAGTTCAATTCTGCCCACTCCTATTGTGAAAGTCACCATGATCATTGGCATCAAGGAGAAAACTGTAAAATAAAATGGTTCAGATTCTGTTTGGTATGTTATGTATTGCTCTATGATTAGAAGCTCCAATTGACTAGTTGATTGATTGAATGTGAATTAATTTAATTTTTAAGATGTATCGAATAATAATAATAAAACATTTTTGTTTTTCTTTCCATTAAAAAAAAAAAAAAAAAAACAATTGTGAATAGATAGGTGTTCTATACTTACAGCTATAATAATAATCACCAATATGATTATTCCAAATATTAGCAAACAAAGTTTAGTTCGTATTTTCCTTTTACAACAACAACAGCAATATCCATTTATATTGCCTATATATATAAAAGATTAAAAATAATTTTTGATTTGATGAATGATTATTAATTAATTGATTGACAAAAAAAAAAATTTATAATATTATTTATAACCTTTTTTTCTATTATTATTAGAAGATGCACTTAAGTTATTTGTTAAATAAAAATTTGGATCACGGTAATTTGGAACAATTTGCTGATAAGTTGGTAGTTCGTCATCACCATCAACATCTATTAAAACTGGTAACGGTATTTTCACCACTTGTTCATATGATGGAGGAAAAAGTAAATTACTATTATTGTCATCATTTTTATCATCATCATTACTATTCATATCATTATTAATATTTGTTAATGAAGAAGATGATGATCCAACAGCATTTGTACTGTCATTATTATTATTATCAATATCATTATTAATATTCGTTGTTGAAGAAGATGAAAGAGAAGAAGAAGAAGACCCAACAGCATTTGTACTGTCACTATTATCATTATTATTATTTTCAATATCATTATTAATATTCGTTGATGAAGAAGATGATGGCCCAACAGCATTTGTACTGTCACTATTATCATTATTATTATTATCAATGTTATCATCATCATTACTATTCATATCATTATTAATATTCGTTGATGATGAAGATGAAAGAGAAGAAGATGATCCAACAGCATTTGTACTGTCACTATTATCATTATTATCAGTATTATTACTACTATCAGTATTGTTACTACTATCAGTATTGTTACTACTATCAGTATTATTACTACTATCAGTATTATTACTACTGGTAGTATTATTACTAGTATTATTATTATTATCGGCGTTGTTATTATTATCGGCGTCGTCTAATTGTGTCATTTCTTCTGGAGGTTCTTCTCGAATTTCTTGATGCTGCTGTTCTTGTAATAATTCTTGTGGTGGTTGTGTCATAATTTTTTTATTTATTTATATTAAATTTTTTACATGAAAAAATTTTACAACAATAATAATAATAATACAATAATAATAAATAGTAATAAATACAAATGATCGTAAAAAAACTAGTAATAGTAGTAACCAATATGTTATTTTTAGTAATTAATAATACGATTGAGACATATTTAGTGCAATAATAGCAATGTATAAATTTATGAATTCAGTCGGCGTGCACAGCAAAAAAGAAAAAATTAGACTTGCGAAATTGCAGCCATTTCTAAATTAGGTTCAAATATCCCTAAACTGTTTCAGAACTCCGAAAAAACTCCGAAACTATAATATGGGCATACTGCAACAAAACCAGACAAAGTGAACATTGGTATTACCAAGATTTTAGTGATAAAAATCACTTGTACTATTTATTATTATTGTATTATTATTATTATTGTTGTAAAATTTTTTCATGTAAAAAATTTAATATAAATAAAT